CCGGTTTGTCTACTCGCTAGATGATCCCAAAAAAATTGATGCTGGGTCTGTCGCTCTTGTGGTGCTTCAGGGGGCGGAACTTTTAATCCCGTCATCCGTAGTGCCTACCGGCGGCAGATCCCAGCATTGGTTTGGACGCTCCTGCAAAATTTCGTCAAGGCAAAAGCAGGAGTCTTACAAGACCATGACTGACGCATCGGCGTCACGGTACGCCCGTCCACCACTAGCGCACTCAAAAAGAAGTACAACTCTGCCTTCAGGTCCTTCAAAAGAGTTATCGCTAGGGCAAAGTCGGAGGACATTGGGAGAATGGCGAGTAACTAGAGAGCCTTCCTTCGAGAACTCACGCGTTCTTATCCCTCGGCAAGGCTACCTAAGGGAATTTCTGTAAACCATCATTATCATCTTTACGCAAGAAGAATGACTTGGCCACGCCGCAAATGAGAAAGCCGATCTTTTAGGACCTCTTTTTACGTCCAACGTGACTCGCGACGACGGGTCGACGGGGTATTATACCGCCGACCATCCCGCGTTCCATGCCGGATGTAGTGTTTACACAGCGCTCGGTGCGCAAAACACTCTTGTCCCTGGCTTAGCTCACCACCGCCAAGTTGCTCGTTTGTTGATCTTCTACAGATTGTAATTCGGAGTAAGGTTAGGTTCACACGGCGCATTGCGTTGACGTAGCGCTGTCACTGCGTCGGTCTTACATACTAATAACCATAGTGTTCACACAGTGCGCTGCGTTGACGAAACGCGCATCGCGCACACAACTGACTGAAAGCCCCCGAGACGAAGGAGAAAGGCTCTGAGTTGAATTTGCAGAGTAAAATAAGTAAAATTAAAGAAATTGATAAGAATTACTTCAATTCATTAATGCAGGAAATTTTCAAATATATAATTACTTGATAACAACTCCCTCAACTTTAATGACTTATAATAATTTTTGATTATAAACATTATAAAATAAATAGACAAAAAAATTTTAACAGTTTCATTATATTTATATGACTATTGGCTACACTGAATTCCTCATATTAGTTTAGTTTTTCCGTATGTGTGGCTCTAAGGACTTCAAAATAAATATTCGAAGCTGGACACACTCATTCTAAACGAATTTTATAAAACTTCTTTTCGTCTAAAGAATACTCCTTATATTCTAACAAAAAAAAAACTGTCTAACACTATTTCTTAATGAAATTAAGGGACATATCCAATACCGTCTGGTGATTTTGCGTCGATTTCCACGGTGACGTAGTAATATGAGCAATGTCAGACGTAATTTTTCGATCTGTTTCTGAATAGACTGCGATGATTTTACAAAATGCTCACCGCACCTGTGCGTCGCCGCTGCGACGACGGAACGTTACGACTGCGTTCTAGCACCGCTGCGATAACGCAGCGCCAGTGTGGCCGGCAGTGCGTTAAAATATTTGCGTTGCGACTACGCAACGCAACGCGCCGTGTGAACTCACTCTAAGCCTATGAGCTTCATAAGCTCCTACCGCCATCTCCGTTCGCCTATCGGAGTACCAGACATACTTCTTACCATCCACACTTGGTTGACATTCCGAATATTCGCACTAAGCGCTATAAATCATCTTTTATAATAGGTACGCACAGACGGGCATCTGTTTTCCGAGTACCTATAACCTAGACCCCTCTCAAGGTGCGTCTTAACAGACTTCTCCTGGGCAAACTCGCTCCATATAGACATCATCTTTGCCCCCAGGCCAGATGGTCAAGAGTGAGCCCATTTTTAGCCAAACAAAAACTAAGTATATTGATTTGAAATGACCAGTACTGTAAACGGCAATTTGAATGAAATATTTTAATAGGTAAAGACCTATTAAAATATTTCATCGTCCTAAGTTTTTCTGACAAAGGGCCATCAATTTTGTAGGCCCCCAAGTAGTGTTAGCCCAGGGCCCCATAATTTTATGTTCCAATCCTGAAGCTCAGTGAGACTCGTCAGAAGCATATTGGTTTACATTTACTATAGTTAGATACGTTATCGGGGAGTGTGTGTGTTTTATATTGTGGGGTTATGTAATATATTTATGAGTATAGTTATATTAGTTGTAGAATGGATCGAGGGAAAGACCACTCTCTCACAGAATACCAGCGTAAAATTGCAGCTTGACGCTCTGTTTTGTATGATGAGTGTAGAGAATTGGAGATCCTTTTTACTGGAATCCTCCTCCTTAATCCTCAGGGGTGACACCGCATTTGCATTTTGCCTTTTAATCGATGATAGTGTAGATGAAGGGCCACAGCATCCACTTACCATCAGTGGACTGTGTTCGTTTGCCACCCTTATTGTGTGACTTGTTGCGACAGGGCAGAGGTGAGGCTTATGACGCGATACGCAAATATTTCTCTGATATTTGTGCGATTTTGTTTGTGTAACGAGCTAATTGAAATTGTACATGAACGCAAAGTACTATATGATGTCATTCTGGAATACCGTAGGAATTTCTCTTTGTCACTCTCTAATAGAGAATTTGCTCAAATTTATATATAAATTAAATAATAATTCATTTAAAGTATATTTAAATATTTTTTACTAACAACTCGTTTTTTAGTAATTATAGAGATCAAATTTTTGAATGAAAAAAAGATATGACTTGATTGATTGTGACATCATTATATCTGTTGAATTTGCGAGCCAATCGCAATCATGATGAACTGTGCTATGTTTTTGATTTTCTACATTCGGATCACCATGCGTCATAATAAAACATAATGCATTATGCAATCTTTATCATGCAATGACATTTTTTTATTTTGATAACGTAAGCGTGAGTATTTTATCATTTCACCATTCGTTGGCGTGTTACTAAAGCGATATAATGCGTCAGGCCTCTGCCTCGAATCTTGCGGGCAGCGGGACGGCAGCGGCGGCGGCGCGGGAGCGGCAGGATCTTATGCGTAAAATCAAATGGACCGACTCTCGAAAACAGCGGCTTGGCAGCGGCGCGGGGGCGGGTAACGAGCGGTGTACTCCAGTCAAGCGGTGACCGCCCGCGCGTCTGTCTGCATTGCAGTGTTGTGCAATTAATTTTTGTGACGTTTCGAAATGTCCTCGCACGTGCAAGAGCAAATTATTTCAGCAATTTTTGAGAGAACACCGATATGGAACAGCAAAGATGTGAACCATAAAAATAGAAGAGTAAATAACCAGTTATGGGAAGAAATTAAAAACGAACTGAATCTAAACCGCCCTTGATAGCTTCAGGAATATAGTCAAAAGTTTCTACGCTCATTCTGGTGTAGTCGTAGAATTTGTCGGGACATTGTCTCTGTTCTTCGAAATTTCGATAAAACTCGGCTTTTTTTTCCTTGCCCTATAAGTAGTAGGGATTCACTTCTTCTTTTGCCCACAGTAAACTGAGCGTTAGAAATAAATTTGAATCAAAAAGATGTTGTCGCCGTTGTTCAGACAACACACCATGAACACATCACTACGCCGCTATAGTGTCGCTCGATCTGTCCGCTAGTTTCGTGAACGGGTCTGCGTTGCCCGCCCCGCTCCCGCGCCGCCGTCGCCGTCGCTCCGCTGCCCGCAAGATTCGAGGCAGAGGCCTCACTAGCGTTTGAATTTACATTTAAATTTTTTTTTGTAAAATTATATGAAAAATCAATTGTTAAAAATTCTTAATTATATTTTATAAAATTTTCATAAAAGTTAAAAAACATGCAATTTCTCTATTATTTAACGAGATAATGAAATTCACATGTCGATTTACAGAGCGACCCAGTACATTTTATAATTTGTTGTTCACAAAATGTTTCATTTACAAAAGATCTTGACCATCCTCTTTAAAATCACTATCTGAATTATAAACAAAAAACATTTTATACATTGGGGTGCTGCAAAGCTGTTGTAAGTTTCAGATGTTTATTGAATTAGGTATTGAAGAATAATTATTTATTACACTCATTACAAAAACACTTATAAATTTGGAAAGAAGCAGTGCAGGCATGACCAAAGTTTGGATAAAATAAAATAAATAAATTTAATGAAATAATTTTATTGATAAGAGAGGTTTTAATATCTGCAGTTAAGGCAATTATCAATGCTTTAGTAAATAAATTAATTGTCTATTAAGTTAAACCAGCAAAATACCTCTATCACAAGTAGTCGTGAAACTGTTTTGCTAAATAAAACAAATATTATAATATGACCATTAAAATATTTCTATGGTTATTTATGTTAGTGTGCAATAGTCTTGATTTATTTACCTAAAATTAGGTCTTGTAAATAACACCCTATAAATAACATTACTTGCTAATCCTAATGTCAGCCAATTAATGTAAGGATAACATGTGACACTCAGATGTCAGTTTCAAACAAAATGCACTCAGATCTAATTTACAGTCACCTACCTTTATGTTAATTTAGGTTCAAATATACTTTGTCAATTTTGACATAACAGAAACAAGTAACATTAAATCTCTTCCATATTATATAACAACCTATTAAATGCACGTTGCAATAGGACCAGTGGCCCAAAAATTATAATTATAGTAAAATAAGAAAAACATGTCCTATCTGCACACATTGCACACCAATCCGTCATTAGAATTTTCACCATTTATTATTGTGAACCGCAAAAATCTAGTCTTTCCAATAAAACATACAGAATAAGAATGAAATCAGTCGAGAAATAATACTCCCAATAGTATTAAGGAATGTACTTAGTTATGACACAGCCTCATCTGCTCGTTGATAGCTGATCGATAAAGATTTAGACACCAAAATATAATAAACTGTATATATGTTTGGTTTAAGACATTCGTTTTATAGGAACTTCATACAGTATGCACAGTTTATAAATTTTCGGGCCACTAGTGCTATATTTATTTTACTTACAATATTGTTTGTTACGACATATTGGCTGTGGAACACTAAGCACTTGATACTGGATTTTAAAGCGATATAATTTCGAATAATATACAAAGAGCACTATGATAAGGGTATATTTTACAAAATATGTTCAGTACTCGTCCTCCTCTGGCGGATGTGGGTTGTCGCCGTCTATTTCTTCGGGAGGTGCGAAGCCGTCCTAAAAGGAAACATTAATTCATTATAAGTGAAACAAGTTTAATATTATTATATACATTTAAGGCATTCGAGGCAAGGCATTTACCATGACCACAATATGACGAGACATAAAAGGCATGGGTCCAAGGCCAACCACTTCAATAAGTGTGTGGCTTTGAGAACTGAGATTACAAAATATTTCTTTTGTAATTTGAGGTAATATGTATATATTTTTAATATTTATAGAAAGGAAAAATTTTAAAATAATTTCACTTGTGCATTTAAATGTTTACGCGGGTTTCGAAAAAATATAGCCTTTCATGTGTACTTGATATAATAATTACCTCAGTTGCATATAAGATATCCAAAATTTTCTGTATAACGGGAGCATTTTGTTGTTCTTCCATCTCTTGACAGATAACCTCTATTTCCCGAAGTTTACCAAAATAGAAATCTCTTTCCTTTTCCAGGCCGTCAACTGTCGCTTTTAATTCATTTATCTGAAAATGAGTGTGTTGTTATTTTTAAATACAGTAAATATTTCTTGAAGTTATACAAAAAAATATTAATAAAATCTCTGAAAATATAGTGTATACCATTTGCACTGTGAACATTTTATTTGCGTTGACTGTGTGCAAAAGTGACATAAATTTAAAAAAGCTTGTTAAGAAAATTCTGTTAAAAGGGTTTACTGTAAAATATAGCAATTATTCTAACAGATCTCTCCATACATCTAGGATATTGATGTGTGGAAATAACTCAATCTGCATTTGCAAATCTCCGGAGTTAAAATTGGACTTTGAAAAATATTATAAAACATTTTGACATTGTAAACGAAATTGTAATATGGCATTAAAAAAAATCTAAAACTTGTTTTCGTCAGTTATTCTGTGAGGTTTTGTTTTTTGCGCCTATGTTGAATAAAAAGGATTGAATTTTAAAATACTAATGTTACAGCTGGACTGATATGTCCTGAAATTACTGTGATCGTAAGTTGACGTCTTAATTTGCATCGAAGTTTATTTTATATTAATTAAATTAAATTTTTGTGGTTACTATAGTATGATAAAGGTTTTACAGTACTAGAAAAACACAGACTTTTTTTTTGAAATACTGTACAAAATATTTTTAACCAATTTAAAAGGTAAGTCATTAATTACTTTACTTATAGATTTGCAGACATTGTTCAATTAATATCCTGTCCTGGGAAGAACCAGCAAGAATCAAGAAGAAAGATTATTTTCAAAATTACATTTTACAATGAAACTTGCAATGCTTTCTTACAAACAACAGATACAATGCATGCTAGGCACAGAATTACGTTGTAGAGCTACTCTACAGCCATATTATGAATGTAGCATGAATGGGTAGGCTGGAACGGAATAGGACCACACTCTCACAGAATACCAACGAAAAACAGCAGCTCAATGCTGCTGTGTTGCGTATGGTGAGTGTAGAGAACCGGAGGCCCTTTTTACTGGAAACGAGGCATTCTATCTTAGTCTTTAGATGTCCATGGGCCACAGCATCCACTTTCCATCAGGTAGACTGTGTGCTTGTTTGTCACCCTTATGCTATTAAAAAAATAGTAATTGATAAGAAATACCTGGTGATTAAGCTCATCAACTGCCTTGGAGTCTCCTTTCGAACTTTGGTTTAATCTAGCCAAGTTCACTGGAGGAGACCTCATCATGTTGTTAGTCTTGCTTACTAAAATAGAAAATCATGATAAGACATTGAAAAAACAGAATAAACTAAAATGACATAGTTGTATTTTGTTAGTGAATATTAAAATATTTAAAAGCAAAATAATTTAGCATTATATCTACTATAATGATGATGAATAAACTATGTAAAGGCTTCATATTAGATCCTTACTTAAGAAATTGCCGTGTTTTAATACTGGCTAGTTTGATGTAATGCATTTTACTTGTAGTAATAAGTAGTAAATCTATATGATAAGAAAACATAAGTTTATGGATACAAAGGAGTCGTCGAACTATGGCCCAAATATAAATAGAGTGCAAAGAAGTTGCTTGTGACTGGACCTGTCTATACTCATTACAATTTCTTGAGTGACCTAATAATTTCTTCAAGTTCAATGGGTGGTGAAAAATCCTTTAAAGAAACTTATCTATTTCTGTTTTCTTTTGTATTCTTTGGGAGTTATGATGCCACAAACAGACACATACACCCCTTCCCCTTCTTTTTCATTGGGGTTTATAAATAGATAAGGATCTAATATAAAGTTACACATACACGACATAAGCTATGATAATAATCATAATAATCCATAAACAATCTTGATTCTAACATTTGCAGTACATGTGTATGTAATGATATAAATGTGAAATTGTAAAATTTATGAAGACGTTTTTAATATTCAAAGACACTGATTATTTTTTTAACCATTTTTGTAAATTTTTCGATCTTGTATAAAATTAAGTTAAGGTTGAAACAAAACAAAAATGCATATGTGTGAGTTGTTATCAATGAAATATAATTTATGCAGATTTTAAAAAAATTATAGACTTATGAAGAGATTCATAAAAACAATGGTCCATAAAAATATTTAAAACTATACAAAAATACGTTATAAATACTCTAAGCAAGGGTTAAAATAAAGCAAGAAGTAAACCAAATTGTTTTGAAGAAGAATGTAAATAAATAGTACTGGTTTGGGGTCTAGCGGCGACTTTAGCGACTGGTGCCGCAGGTTTCTTAGCGGCCGCGGCCCGAGGCGCCGCCGAGCCTCCGTGCCCCATGGGCAAGCCTTCGCGCTGCGCTACAGCGTCATATTCCGTGCCTCCATAGTTGGCATCGAAAAATTTCTTGAACCATTGCAAGAACTCAAAGTTGTCTTGAAAACGACCCTTCACCAGTTTGTCAATGGGAACTATCTACAAAAGAAAAACAAAATGGAAAGATAAAAACAAAAGCATTTGAAATGTACTATGATGAGTGCAGGGCTAGATGTTGGTGGAAGGGCCTAGATGTGGTGTTTTATCGCGCTTATAATGAATATAGTTTTCCATGCTGAATTAACTGTAATGGAAACTGCTTGACTATATCTATATGAATTTTGAGTATAGGTGCGGCTAATGCGTACTCCCAGAATGGTGGAGGGGCGCGGCTTTACGAGCACGGGGAGGTGGTGCGGCGCCTCCTCCGCATAGAGGCACGCCACTTTCACATGCCCCCGAACCAATTGTGAAGCCGCCTCGAGCCTCAAAAGCGTCGTACTCTCGACCATCATAATTTGCATCAAAAAACTTTTTAAACCACTGTAAAAACTCAAAATTATCTTGAAACCTTCCCTTTATCAACTTGTCCACAGGTATTACCTACAAAATTACACACCAAAAACATTAAGCATATATTATATATAAAACTATTTTAGTTACATACTTATATGTACACTTTGTGGAACTATATTATAACCCAAACACAGTTGACAGTGAATTAAATTAATACGAAATAACAGAACTACGTAACAGTTAATGATGTGATGTTTTATAATTTGTTATTACAGCATTAAGTTCTGAGATTAACTAACGCTCTTAGCATAGGCAAACAGTTCCACAAGAAAAGTATTGAATTCATTTGTGTAAAATGCACAGGCAGGTGCATTAATATATGCCCTTAGACCATTCAACTCAAAAGTATATTCAAAATTCTAAGTATATGTCATACCACATTCATTCAATTTATGTCATAAATTTGCAGCTAAAACAACAAAATTTTTGGATTATTTTCTTTTTGTTGCATAATCTCGTAAATAACTTCTACACATATTTGCTTCATGTTATTTAATTTATAGTATTTTCTTTTTTTTATTATGTACTACCTTGCATGTTCCTGCCGCAGAAGAAACAATTGTGGAAATATCGTTTTAAATTTCGATATTACATAGGTTGTTTTTAAGTTCACTGAATGGGTAGGTAGGTAATAAGCAGGGACATTGTTGAATTACGTGCTAATTGAGCAATTCATTATTAGTATAACCATGGGGTTTTATTGTAAGTAGATCATTAGTCTTTGAGTTATCGTCAACCAAACAAGTCAATCTGGAAGAAATAGTGAAATATGGAGAAAATCAAGTTCCGTGCCATTATAAAGTTCCTTACCAAGTGCGGAAAATCAGTTCTGACTATACTGATAGAGATGTCATCCATTTACGGAGACTCTTGTCCAAGTAAAACTATGGTTTACAAGTGGAATACTCTTAACAAGGCAGGGAGTCACTTGAAGACAGCCCACGGCCAGGAAGGGCAATCGAGGTGACTACTTTGAAAATTATTCAAAAAGTCGAAAAATTTATATTAGAAGATGCCCGCCTAAAGAAAAAACAGCACGCAGAAATGGTTGGAGTAGATACAACCATTTTCAAAATTCTTCATGACCAACAGCGTGTGGAGTGTTCTCTTGCATTTTTGGACCTCTGTATGGAAGACAAAGATGGAGTGTTAGCTCGAATTGTTACTGGTGATGAAACTTGGGTTCACCATTATGAACCTGAGTCCAAACAGGACTCTATGCAGTGGCACAAAAAAGGCACACCACCACCCAAGAAATTTAAGGTGGCACAATCGGCTAGGAAAATCATGGCGACAGTCTTTTGGGGCTCAGAAGGAATCCCATTGATTTATTATCAAGATAAAGGTGTTTCCATAACCGGAAATTACTACGCTTCAATCCTAGAATATTTGAAGGAAGCCATAAAGGAAAAAAGAAGGGGAAAATTGATCAAAAAAATCCTTCTTCTGCATGACAATGCACCTGTTCAGAAGTGCCATTTTGCGATGGCTGCCCCTGCAGAAGGTGGGCTTCGAAATTTTGCCACATCCACCCTATAGTGCCTGACCTGACTCACAATGATTATTATCTATTTCCAAACTTAGAAAAAGAACTTCGTGGGAAAAAATTTAAGTGATGAAGAAGTGAAGGAAGCAGTTTCGGCGTATTTTTTAGACAAAGACAAATAATTTTTTTTGAGGGTATACATAAGTTGATTGAATGAATCGAAAAATGTATTAGGCTAGCAGGTGAATATATTGAAAAGGAAAAATAAATTTGGATTTTTATTTCCACTCCATACCCCCCATTCTGCAATCTTTAAAATGTCCCCTTGTATATTGTTTAATTAGGAATAATAATACATTCATTGAAATTGAATGATAAATTCGTCTGTACGAATTTAATTGTACCTACTATGCCTATAACCTTCATGCAAGTGTCAGCAATAAGTTGACAAAGTTTAATCACAACCTGGGGTATGTTCCGAAATACATCCTAGTACACTGGCCAATACAAATGACGTCATAAATCGACGCCATACTGGTGACTCGTTGTATCGCATATGGTAGAATACGGCGTTAATTAATGACGTCATTTGCATTTGCCAGTGTACTGGGTTGTATGCCCTGATGAATGATATGGCAGTGCATAAAAAACAAACAAACTTCACTTAATATTCTGGAGCTTTACTAAAAAGATAATATAGTTAGTTTCCACCAATAGTGATAACAAACTGTGATATATAGAGTAGTATTTCTATACTGCACTTTTTTATATTTCTATACTGCACTTTTTTATAATTTTTACTGATTTTAAATGGAAAATATAACCACACAAGGCCATATTTTATAAATACTAAATTTTCCATGATCAAACAACCCATAAGATTTGTAAGGACTGAGTTTATAATTGATAACCTGTCTGCTAAATGTGCCAAAATCTCAATATAACGAAAAAGAAACATGCCCAGCAGTGGACAGCTGATTAAACAATTTTTAGCATTGACTCTTACTGTTTGTAGTACACACTACAAATATAGTAGATATTGTCTTTTTTCTCATCAGCCCCTAAAAGTTCACTTCTGGTCATGGGCCTCTATTGCAGAGGATTTGCCTTGAATGTCATGCTCATTAGATGAATTGACTATCCCAATACCGGTTGATTGTGCTTTTGACACTGTTGGACCCTGGTTAGTTTGGGTATTTTATGACTGGTGTAAATAACAAGGTAGGTATATCAACATTGGGAAAGTCATAAGATTATTCTGGTATATAATCTTATGACTACCCTATACTAATACCCAGTCACCTTTCTTGACACTCACAGATAGAAAGGGAATTATAGAATTACTTCCTTCATTCTTTTACCTATTATTTATAACAAAATAAGTTAAAATATATTTTCTACAAGTTTTGAAAGAAATCCAAATAATTTTTTTGCATAACAAAATATTATATTATAACATAATTTTAAATGTGATACATAGTATGATCTTGAATTGGGGGCCCATATTGAACAAGAGACTTTCTATGGGATTAAATGATTAGCAGAGTGATGCATCTTGAAGAATCATGATCGATTCTCTTTATATTTGGTCCAATAGATGTTTAAAAGAGGTGAGTAACTATTAGAAAGGCTAGGATAGACTTAATAGTCTAATAGATTATCACCAGTGACACCATCTTGCATATGCTACCTGTAAAATAACAAGACTGGTTTTGGGGTACAGTATCAAATGTGTGAGATATCTGGTATTGAGATGCTTTCAACTACGGGAAATTCTTCCAATAATGAGAGCTCCATATTCAGCAGTACACTTATTGGCTAAATTATAAAAAGAGGAATAATGACTTGTATAAACATACTATTTTCTCCCCATACCTTACATTGTTGATCATCACCATATTTTTTTAAATATTGGAAGAACTTACCAATGAATACATATACTACGGCACATCTTTATATATAAAGTATGTGTCACGTTGTTTGTCCGCAATGGACTCTCTAAACTACTTAACCGATTTTAATCAAATTTGCACACCATGTGCAGTTTGGTCCAACTTGAATGATAGGATAGTTTTTTTGCCCATGAGTGACCCACAATTTTGACAAAGGGTTGTCGAAAAGGGCAGAACAACGTCTGCCTGGCAAGCTAGTATACTTTAAAAACGTATACTACCATTATAAATTTCAAACACTAATAATAAAAAGACCTATATCAAAATGGTGGTGTGAGACAAAAATTAAAGTACTAAGCAGTCTACAGATGCTTTGTCACCTCTGAAGACCAAGATTAAATGCCTCACAACCTGTAATTATACTAGCTCTCTATACCAATCAGACTGGAATACAGCAATGCAAGTACTGCTAAGTGGCAGCAGTAGTAAGCAAACAATAGCACTGGAAATATCGCTGACTGATGTTTGTAAAAGATACTCCTAAATGAAACTGGTCTCATGTCAATATCACTATTTGTTCTCGAGATGCAAAAATTGAATCCGAACATACCTACATACATACATTTGTACATGTGCACACACGGACATCCTCTTAAAAACCTGTGACTCTAAAGACCTTGAAATGTCTTGTTGTCACGATCCTGAACCTTGAAATGATATGTTAAAATTTCTAATTTGCTAAATCAGACCCATTACAATAACTTCCTTCTGGCAAGTTAATTAATGATGTACAGAGCATTAGCACGTAGATTAGCAATGGGAAAGTTTCTCTTGGTTGCTAAAACAATAGCACACCACAACAGAGGATAATTGCTTGAAAGTGGTGTACCAAGTTTGAATTGATTGAATTGAATTGATATGAAGAATACCAGTACTTACTCACATATTACATTGTTATGTAAGAGGGTAAAAAATAAAAAAACATAACAAACAAAGTGAAAGTAGAAGTGTAAACCACCATTAATTCAAGCAGTATAGAATCTGACACTAACTACTGTAACTATCTAGATCAGTAATTCTAAGTCTTCAGTATTGTGATTCTGTTCATTGTGTTAACTTATCAAATCATAAACACTCACACCTGTCACCCAGAGGGGTAGACAGAGACTACGGACTTTCATTTGACACGATCCTGACATACCTCTTTCGCCTCCTTTACTGTTAACTTATCATCTTTCGTAATCACAACCCTTCACAAGTCTACTGCTGAACATAGACCACGATTCAACAAATGACTCAAGTTGAATGAACAAATGATAAATTATATAAGAACAATATTTATGGAAGTTTTGCCTTACCTTATCAACACCCATTTTTTTGAATGCTGCTTGTAATATTTTAAAATTCTGTATATATTCATGTTCTAAATTAGTCTTGAATTTAATTCGCTTGATAGGTACACTCCCAGGGAAGAGCATATCCATGAACTGGCAATAAGCTGCACCAGTGCACAACTCTTCAATTTTGGCAAAGTTCGACTGTAAGCAGTCGTTAACCCACGCTAACATATCATGACGCGATAAGTTTTCAGCAGTAACGTTGGTTGAATACACATTCACTGCCATTTTTATTCTTCAACCGACAATTTCTGTAAATACATAAAAAAAACTATTCAAATCTGAAGGTAATATAATAAAACCGGCTAAAAGACGGCACTCAAAGATCGAAAGAAAGAGAAAAGCTATTCTAAAAATAGGTCGTTCTGATATTATGATACTAATAAAATATAACTTTCGTGAAACATAATACAATCAATAATAGTCGTTAAAATATATAATCGAGTTCATATTATTACATATTGTCATAAATATCCTTAAACGCGTCGCCTTTTTCTTCGGCGGATGTGGTAATGACAGAAGGCGACTCATCGAAATCGAATCTGTTGCAAAGATATGTATATATTTGAAAGTTGTTTTAAATGAAGAATTTACAAACCTTTACCAAAATCCAAAATCAATCCCGAATATTAATGATTCACAAGTCTAAATTTTTGCTGAACAATGTGGGCAAAAACGTTATTTTTTTGTACACCTCCGCCACCGTCATAATATTCATAGACAAAGACAATAGATATAGACAACGAAAACCAAAATATCGTAGACAGAGAATCCTACTCTATCTACGCAAAATATACTATGTGCCAAAGAGTATTTAATCGCTATACAAAGAGCCGCAATAATGGGGACTTTTATAACAGACATTTATAAGTTTTCACATTTTGGTTTCATGAAGAAATTATATTTCCAGTAAACGTTATTATTTACTGATTTATTTGAAATTTTAGAAAATATCATCTGTTACGGCCCTGAGTTACCCCGACAAAGGTCGATTGAGCTAGGGCCCATTAGTAACCCAATTCGACGAGTAACCGAGAGTCGGGCCACAAATGGCCTATGGATAATTAATTTATAACGGCTAGATACGCAAACACAAAACTTACCGCATTCCAGAAGTAGGGTCTACCACAAGGTGGCGTCAGGGGCAGGTAAATAGTAGTGTGTGTGTGTGTAGTGTAGGAAGGTGTGTAACGTAACCTGACGTCACCGATATATTCAGATAGCAAAACCAAATGCGCTGCCCAGCTCCTATTGTGCAATCACTCCAGAGGACGTTAGCCGCTATCGGAACTCAACGTCTACGCGTCACTTAGCTTACAATAACTATAATCTAAGATAACGCGATCTCCGGATCACAAAGTTTAACGTTCCACACGAAAGCAAAATTCCTTCGTACACTTTAACTAATTTGTTTTAACTTTAAGTAACTACAGAAGCCACTCGTCGACGCAAATTAATAGCAATCGAAGTTAAAATAGTCAATCAAAACTCAAAAGCCTCGTTGTCACGTATATTAACGACAAATTACACCAGGGAGGCCGTCGTTATTCGACGCGGCAATTATTGTCAAAATCGTGACCTCTCATCGATACGGCTCGCTCACTACGAAGGTTCGAGACTCGTGGGCGCGGCCGACGGCCGCACAAATCAGTCCCCCCAGCCCAGCCGTCAAACCGGTTCCCCGTTCGAGACGCGCGCCATCGCAAATTGTAAATTGTTACAATTATGTCTAAACAAACCCCTGCCCTACGTCCGCGAGTAAATTGGCAAACGGGAGAGGGTCACGACGGCACGTTGCAAAACCGAATCTCCAACCAAAACCTCGGCCACCCTAGGCACCCCATCCGATCCATACGACAAATTAACAATGTGCCCACGGCGCCAAAACAAAGGCAAAGCGTTTGGTTCTTACATAACACGAGGTCTCCAACCCGAGGAGGATCCGTCTTGTCAGACCACTTAACGCGCTGCTGCAAAAGATGCAGGTACTCTAGAGACCATCGGTGCCAAAAACTCTGAGTCATTTGTTGCAGCAGGTCAAATCTGCTCAACCGCGAAGAGTTTGTTTCCCTGGAGGGGTACTCGGGCAGGGCGTTAAGCGGCTGGCCAATCAGGAAGTGGCCCGGAGTTAGAACCTCCAAACCATTTGGATCGGACGAGAGGGGACAGAGGGGCCGAGAGTTGAGTACCGCCTCAAATTTACAGAATACAGTGGCAAGCTTCTCAAATGTCAAAATAGTTTCGCCAATAACGCGACGGAGATGCGTTTTTGCAACCTTAACCACCGTCTCGAAAATACCGCCCCAGTGTGGGCAAGCCGGAGGGTCGAATTTCCACTGGATGCCCTTCTTGGACATCGCAGTAGCTAAATAAGTCCTGTTGCTGGACAGAAATTCGACGACCTCCTTCAAATATCTATCCGTGCCCTTCGTTCCGCAATCTGATCGGATCAGGTCCGGCAAACCGCGACGCGATACGAAGCGGCCCAGAGTGGCCACAAAGGCTTCAGTGCTGAGCCGTCTGAGGAGGTGGAGACCACAGAACAGGTCCAAAGAAACTGTACCCAAATACAGTAGACATGGCTGACAAGCCATCGGGCTGTAGGGCTCGTATCTCGCCTAACAGGATGAACCCCAGCACTTCGGCCCCCAGCAACAATTCTATAAGCCCAGGTTGGGACCATTGAGGGTCTGCCGGTCTCAAACCCGCGCCCGCTGTCATTTATACGGACGTTAGGGAGAAAACCTACAATGTCATCGAGGACATTTACTTTAACTAAAATATGAAGGTGTTCGCTGGCAGAACTAAACACCAACTTCGTTGTCCCCTAGGAGCAGGTAGGCTCGGCACCTCCGATACCTACCACTGGACGTGATTCAGAGCTCCAGGGGAGCCCTAGAATTCCCACCAACCAAGTGGAGGCCACACAACGGTGTGAACCCGAATCCGATAGAGCGCGAACCGTTAAACAGTCGCCACTCGGGTTGTACACCTTCACTGAGGCCGTCGGCAATAGAACAGTTTGACAAGTGGACTGTTGACGGCTCAAAAGATCAGTGAAGGCGGCCGTGGTGGGAGCTAGGGCGGCAGCTACCTAGCTGGAGCTGCCTCCATTGGACCGGCACTCGAACCGGGGATCCCGAAAGCGGCATTTCGGCGGCATCTTAATGACCCGGGGTTGGAAATCACCGAACGCGCCGACCTGGGGAGCTTCAGGGAACCTCGGCCATGAGGCCCGGTGAGAAGGGTCTCGCTGACCGCTGAGTGGCCGTAAAGTTCCTCTCAACACGCTGAGGGGGGGGGTGACGAAACCCCCGCCTCTGGAAGAACGACCCCCAACTGGTCGGGGAAGGGACTCTTTTCAAAACCAGGGGCACGGCGGCCGGCAGGGGAGCGCCGAGCGTCGCCCAACAGAGGGCGTGGCTGAGCGCCCCCGCCCGTGGGGGTTGAGGGCTCGGCAGAGCCCCGAGAGGAAGCGCCGTTCGCACCCAGGCACAAAACGGCATGGTGGTTGCCCTGGCAGTGCGGACAGGGTCGCTGGTGCGGGCAGTCTCGTTGGAGGTGCCTTTCCAAACACGAATAGCACCAGCGGCGCTCCTTGGCGATGGTTCGCCTCGCTGGGACCGGCTTACCCAATAATTTCGGGCACAACATCACCCGGTGATCGGATGCTCGACAATAGGAGCAGTGGGGCGCCTCCCTGGCCACTAGGCCACTATAAGAAGGCAGGGGGTGGCGCCCTCCGCGGGAGCTCCTCTCGGTCTGAGGGGGGTTGGCGACTACTTGCCCGGGGTATTCCGCCTCTCCTTGGGCACGGCTTGGTTGGCAGTCCGTAGGTCGTCGAAGGTGCCCGCTGCGTTCTCAATCTGCCTACACTGCTCCTCCAAGAACCGCAGCAGGTCCCTGAAGGGCGGAATATAGGAGGAGCCGTTCCCGCCGTACCTCTCCTCAAAATGGGGCCGAAGATCGAGAGGCAGGCGGGACAGCACAATGTGGAGCAACAAAAAGGACCATTCGTCCACCGGTAAATCCAGCCGCCTCAAAGAATTACAGGCCACCAAGACTGGATTTACGATGTCCGGACGTAGTCTGGCCCGGTCCTTAAGCAGCGCGAGGTTTAGCAGCCGCTTGACGCTTCGTCCGCAATTTGCCGTACGTTGGCGTACCTTCCAGCGAGGAGGTCCCGAGCGGTCTGGTAGGCGTCATCCGACAATTTCAGATGGCCGACGACGCCCAGGGCCTCCCCCTCCAGTGAGGCCAGGAGGTAAGCCATCTTCTGGCTTGGTGTCAAGTCCCTCCGGGCGTCCACTAGGCTATCAAATAGTCCAACAAAGGTCAGCCAGTCGGAGAGGACCCCGGAGAACCTTGGCAGGTCCAGAGTTGGGAGTCGTCCCAACAGCTCCGGCTGAGTAGAATGCTTCCGAAGGGACTCGAGCAGGCCACCCAGCCGAGCTTCACGCGCTTCGTGACTTGGCCCCCGCCTCGATCAAGTTGTCCGTGAGCGAAAAAAATTGCTCGTAGTCCGCGAGGCAGGACCAGGACTCCCTGTTCCGCTCCCGAGGCCAAAAGCTCAGTGCGAGCCTCCTCCCTTCGGGCCATGGTCTGCTCGAGCCGCTTCTCTAAACTATGGATCCGATCGGGTCGCCCTATCAAGGTGTGGGCGTTCGCGGCCCAGCGCAGCTCCGCCTGAAAACGAAGCGCCGATGGCTTGTGCGATGGCATCAATACTCAATACAATTACTATTAATTAAATCAAACACAATTACAATACACCGCAAGTACTCACTACAGTCGGTCAACAAAGATACCACGGTGAGGCAACTTCGGCAATTTAGTCTACAATACAAATACAAATACTAAATACAAGTACCTGATGCATAGGTCCGTTTACGCAATACACTCCGTTTGCTAGCCTAACGGCGTGGTTATGACCATCGACCCGCGAAAAAAACAAAAAAAAATATTATTATTTCTGTTTTTTTCGCGGGCCGGCCCGGGCGTGATTTTAGAAACAATCAACATGCTCTGCTACCAGCAATGTTACGGCCCTGAGTTACCCCGACAAAGGTCGATTGAGCTAGGGCCCATCAGTAACCCAATTCGTCGAGTAACCGAGAGTTGGGCCACAAATGTCCTATGGATAATTAATTTATAACGGCTAGATACGCAAA